GGGGGGGGGGGCGGGGAATGGAGCATCACCTAAGCACTTAAATGGTGGGATGAAAAAACTGGAAGGCTAATTTGAAACAGACTCCAAGCACCCTGGTACAGAAAACCATAGGTCTTCTCTCTCCCTATTCCTCCAACAGATGACCAAGTCTTTGACAAGGCATCCAGATAACAATCAAAGTAGGAGCTGATGGTTTTTGGCAGGTGTACCATAAGCTAGCTCTACACCTTGAGTGCTATTCTGATCCCTTTTTCTGTCCTGATGAGCTGCTCTGCTTTCTGTTCCCTGCCCTACCTGCTGCATGCCCCTTCTAGAAATCTGTTCAACAGGACCATCTGTTAATTACTTTGTATCAGGTAATCCACACTCAACTGAATGGACAATCTATGTGAAAGAGTTTAGACAGTTCTACTGTCAACATATCTGTAATATTATCTTCTTGCTGAATAAAAGAGATTCATAATTCCAGGACAAACTAATCTTAACTTTAAAATGTATTTACCAGTGAGATGTGTTCTTACCTATGTAACTAAGCAGAACAGGAAGGAATATTAATCCATGGCTTGCTCCAAGCAGCACCATGGCTAAATACATCCTGAAGTAGAATATCTGAAAAATCTGGGATTTTGAGAAGGCCAATACAACAATTCCTCCAAATTTTGTCAGAGTGATACCGCTGAAAACCTGGTAAGAGAGATTTAATTAAAAGTATTTGCCAACAACACATCAGGATTTCATGCAACTCAATAGCAAAATAGTGGGTAAGATAAAGTATCCCTTTCTACAAATTTAGATACCGATCTATATTTTTAGGAAGTGATGCTATCCATTACCACACAAAGCAAGGTTAAATCTAAGAATGCTCCAGGGGAAGGAAAAGGGGATGTAAACAACAATGCAACAAGACATGGTAGTGAGTAATCAAAAAAAAAAAAAAAGAAGTGAAATCAGAAAAGTTTATTTTTGGTCTTGCTTTTTGAAGGATCATTACTGTAGCACTTCCCCCTTCCACCTCACGAATTACTTTGTTCCTCTACCAAGAGACATTGCAAAAGGTAATTTATTACTTTTCTGAAGAAGTCTTCCTATAGCCTCTTCCCTTTGCAATGTGCTATGGCATAGTGATAACAGTTAAATGGCCACTTAAAGCCATGCCATGGCCACTCAATTTTGAAGTGTCACCCATAGATACAGCACCTGCTTGAACTAGATTATTACCTCTAGAGGTTCCTGCTGTCATTTAGGGTGCGTTGTTAGGAAAAAGCTCCCCTGTAGCACTTACTTTAGCATGCATTATACTGATATCATGGGTTAACTACAAACTGCAGTAAGGGTCTGCTTTATGCCTTCCCTAAAGACTTAACTCAGAATCTGATAAACTTCAGACTGTTTTAAATTGGGAAGATAGTAGTTTTAAACAAAGCCACTACAGTCAAAACAACTGAATCTCAAAGTTGGACTTCTCAGTCATCTCTAGACTCACGGGTGACTTCCCTATTTGCTGGGAGACTGTCACCCTCATATCGAGGACCTGCTGATGTAACAAATGTCTCCTTTGTAAGAAAAGGTTAACTACTGCAAGATGACACTCATGAGAGGAAAAAACAGACAAAAAATCCCAATCATACAACTAGGTATGTGTTAAAACTACTTACAGTTTAAATGACTTTTCATGGAAGCACTACAAAAACTTTACTTAGTCATTTTATCTGTGCAGTAAGAGGAACATATTTCCACAGACAAACAGATACTTACAGAACTGCCCATACAGGACAGGGCTTCTTCAGCACGCTCTACTCTGCTACTCTTTGTACTGATGGTAAATGCCCTTGTCACATGACTGCAGAACTCCACTGCAATACCACAGCTCTGAAGTACAAACGCATCTACTTTAGTGCTCAAACTAATCACGTTAGGACCCACAACCAGCAAAGTAGTAATAAAAATTGTTTCCCAAGAAAACTTCCAAAACAAGCAGTCAAAATAGCATTTTTTAAAATCTGGGAATCATCAATTTCCAAGCAATATTTGAGAAAGCTGCAATGACTACCAATACAGAGCCTGCCCACTTATGCAACAAATCCTGTCTAAAAATAGCTGACCTCAGTAAGGGTGATCTGCCAGATGGAGTCTGATTTGAATACCATGCACCTATCTACTGATTGAAAACCAGGCAATTCACTTTTTGCACATGAAGAGGGCATCCATCCATGAATTACATTATAAAAAAATAAATTCAAATGCTGATCAGTTGCCTCTGAACAGAAAGAATAGCTTAGTCTTACTCCTGAGCAGCACCATTTCTTAATGTAATGTTACTTGGGTCTTTTTCACTAATCTCCTTCACCTATACATTTATTCTACTCCATCAGCAGCATCTTGAACTTTTGTACTAGGGGAAGAGAAATACACAGCATCAGAAAGTGAGCTGTGTTTAGACTTCATGGTAGACTGGTTCTCACCTGCCAATAAAGGAACACAAGCTAGAAAGGGTCTAAATCAATGCTTTGCCAAAGTTCGCTGCCTTTTCACAAGATGCCTGCACTCTACCACTAAAGGGTCAGCTAACTCTACTTCAAAGCAGCTTGTAATGAAGTGACGAGGATAAACAAAACTGGAGCTTAAAAATACTGCTTCTGTGGTTTGCCTGGCTTTTGGGGTTCTCATGCCTATATTAGGTTTTTACTTTTTCTCCCACCACTGAAATACAGTAAGGAGTTAGGAACTTTTCTCTGTCTCTAGCTGTATGCCAATATGATTTTAAATCATTATATCATCCAGACCAGCAGTTATGCTATCCAAAGTGCATAGAAATCTACTCTGGAGACATCAGGTGGGTGAAACCTTATCACAGAGTGAATAATAAGGCAAGATAAATACTACAACAAGAACAACAACTACTGATCCATAACCTCAATACCTTGTGCCTCCTGGCATTCTATAACTAATTTAAGATTTCAGGAAATACTCTGAACCCTTTTGCATTGGGAGGAGTAAAGCCCCTTTTTAAAAAAAAAAGCCACCAAACAAGTGGTTACAAAGCAACACACAGGCTGCTGACAGAATGAAGGGGGAAGAATGAACAAACAAACAAGCCTATGTGCTTTACCAGAAAGCACATAGTTCAACCTGGCTCATCCGTAGAGATGGAGCACTTTATCAGGGCTTTTTGGTGCTTTTATCTAATAGCTGATTGGATCAGCTATTAGATAAAAGTGCCAACCCCCTCCCCCAAAGTGCCCAATCTATACAGATGTTGGGCAAGCCGGATCCAACTAATGTGCTGCCTCATCTGAGCATGTGCTGCATTTGGCATGGGGGCACATGAAGTTTAAAGTAGAGCACTATTTGGGGTTTATGTCTGTAAGCAGCCACACAGTTGAAAAAAAAAAAAAAGTAAGTCTTACCATGACAAGGTTGACAAGCGAAACAGCATTCAAGCTGATGCCCCAAAGCCACATCACTCCGAACATATTGGCTATTATCATAGCAATAGTAATGGATACCACTACAGCAGCCCATACTTCAAAGCCAAGCAGCACAGTTGTCACCAAGAATATTGATGCCAAGGACAGGCTGAGGTTAAATATAGTGTCATCCACAATTGTCAGATACTGCTCATAAAAGACATAAAACACACTG